TACTAGTAGTAAGGCACCTGTTACTACTAGCGTGGCACTTGTTACTAGTAGCTTCTTGTTTGCACATGTCTTTGTTAAATTCCAAACATCGCTGCCTGCTATGAGCGCAGCAGGTGGATCTGGCATTACCTCAATCCAAACTTATTCACGAAGGACGCAAGCAGTGCTTGGGGTCAGGCTGTTAAAGAACCGGAGAAATAGACTGCGTCGAATCGCAAATCCTGGCAAGGCTAAGTCATCTGTTGCATGAAGTTAATCTTAAATTGGGTCATCCTATTATACTTTTCCCAAAAGTTAATCTTCCCTGTAGCGAAGATACTTCGCCTTGCTTTCACAGCCACACACCACGGTCAAATTGTGTCCTTGTTTATCTTGTTTGTGGCTTCATCGCTATTTTACAAACTCAGAAATAATCCAAAGAAGTGAAGTAAAGGGGTCAAAGTCGGTGTAGAATGACGTGAAAAGGCAAAAGAATGCAAGTGTTTCCTAAAAATCTAGGAACTACACGAAGAATCATGAAGAGTGTTGGCCATAGCGCTCTTAGGTTGGAGGCCATCATTATTATTGGGGCGAGGGCAAAAAACAATAACAATAATCATAGACATCGAAAATGATATCAACAGAAGAGAATCATGTGCAACAGGCATGCTGTCCATAGTAGTGCTGAGCAGGAATGTTGTCTGGTATTTTAAATGCCAAAAACCGCCAAAACATCAAATGTTTGGGGTCTATGTTTCAAGATAGACCCCTGTTTCAGCATCTGTTTGGTGTCAACTCCTTGAATTCCATTGTGTGAAAACACTTGTTCCTGATTTCTGGGTCACATTTTCAAAAACGAAGGGATATGTCACGACAAACTCCGAGGATGATATAGGCCAGCCGCTATTCAACTTAAGTAGCTTCCCTGAGCCTTCATGATTTGGCTAGAATGTTGGGAAACTGTTGTTCAATGAAAAGCTTTTACGAAAATCGGACTCTCTACATGCATTTATCCACCGTGGACCTTTAACTTTTGTGCGTGAGCTACTACTAGTAGCGATGCCCTTTGTTCCTAGTAGCGTCCTTGCTCCTAGTAGTAAGCCCAGGAGCCCCTAGTAGCGTCCTTGTTCGAATGCCCACACTTCCCTAAGCATGCACACTTTCGTGCAGAGGTTCGGAATCTAAGAAGAACGGATCAACAAGTGACACTGAGCATTTGCAATAGGTGACACGTCATCTGGCACGGATCAATCGATCGCAGCTGGTCACAACAGCATGTGGCGCCAGAACTTCAAAAGGTAGGGCAACCCGCAGACTCTTTTAAATATTGCTTTTCCATTGGGTTAAAGGCCATCGCTATTAGGTTGGAGGTCATTGCTAGGGTGGAGGCCATCGTCTTTTCATTCATGATTGAGATGTCTTTGACGATGCTTTTACCAAAGAGCTTCGCCATGACTCCATGCTTCGCGCATTCGAGACCCCTCATTTCATGAATGGCGCATTGTGGATTCCGTCCTTCGGCTGCACGATGTTTCTCCGCGTAAAATTGCATACACCAAACGAACCTCTAAAATGCCCATTGCTTCCTGGTTTTTATTGTGTTCTTCCTGGGAATAAAAAATAAACAACGAAAACAAATAAAGAAAGAAAAAACATTGTTGGTATCTAATCTATTATCATGTTCCTTGTCTTTTATTCCTTTTTGTATCCTCTAAAAGGCCAAGTGCTTTGCCCCATCATGTCGCACACCTCCACAACTTGTTGGGAAAAAGGGAGGCTTGTGTTCCTTTGAGTCATAAACGCCTAGATTTGCTTACAACACTCTTATTTACTTGGCGCATGATACTGGTGGAAAGCCCAAGATTGTCCAACTATATACATTGAAATGAGAGCCCCAAGTTCAAGTTACACTGACCTCTGGAATGGAACTTCCCTTCTGTGGCTTGCCATCGCATGCCTGGCAAGGCTCACACAATGCAAAAGTGGATAGCGGAGCTAGCGATGGCCTCCAACCTAGGGATGGCCTCCAACCTCTACGTTTCTGACCCCACCTCATAGCAGAGCTCTGACAAACCTTCGTCGTAAATTGATTTCTCGAGCACACGGCCTCGTCTCAGCAGCTCTGGGCTCAAAATCTCTTGGACCCAAACTGGGCTGCTGGGCAATAAAACCTCAGAGGTTTGCACCAATGAAGCCAAATAGAAATGTACATCGGAAAATATGGTTTGGGAAAACCAAACCAGAAATGTCTCGTAGCCATCCGAAATTCAGCATTCCATAAGTAAAACTAAACCTAAACTCTGTTTCACTGAAATTCAGATGGCATCCACCCTAACAGCGATGGCAACCTAGTAGCGATGGCCTCCAACCTAAAGAGCGATAGCCTCCAACCTAGTAGCGATGGCCTACAACCTTAACCTAGCAGCGACGGCCTCCAACCTAGTAGAGATGGCCTCCAACCTATAGCGATGACCTCCAACGTAGCGATGGCCTCCAACCTAGTAGCGACAGCCTCTGGAAACTACGAAGCCTATAACGATTCTATTCTGTCTGAATTTGTTCGCCCTCAACCTGAGCAAAAAGTGCGTCCAAGTCTATAAAAATTGAAAAGTTTTCAAAGTTCAAAACGATTCAATAGACTAAAACTAGAAATTGATCCTAAACGCATCCCTCTGGCGAACCTTCGACCTCGGGCGCGGCCCAATCTCCTAATTACCCGATGAACCCCACAAATTGGCCTGGAACAGAGACAGCAAGTCATGTTTGACCACTCACAAGTTGTGTGCCTCTTTTTCCGCTTTGGCCAAATGTGAAAAGTATATATGCGTTAATACCTTTTCTTGCCGAAATCTAGGCGCACAGTGTCTGTCTTTTGTGGAGCCTTTGTAGAATGCCAATGAGTTGAACCATCGCCAGAACTGAAGTTTGATTTGTTTGTATAAACTTTCTTCACGGCGTGTGTTTTTCTGCTGGATTTATTGCTCACAATTGGGGTTTGGAATGGTTTTCTCGGCAGGATCAACTGCAAACGCTTTTAGCGCTCCCCTTGTGGCACTTTGTGGGACACAAAGTCATCAGAAAGAGATAGAGTCGGCAATGTCATCGCTTATCATGGATTTAAAATGCTTCCAGGTCCCGTTCGTCTGGAAACACAACTTCAGGCAGGCTCGTGGACAGTTGGTACTCAAAACATTGTGGCGGGTCGTATTTTATGAAAAGGGCAACTGGTCCGACTGGTCCCTGTGTTCCACCATGTGCCCATATGCCACCATGTTCCACCTTGCACTGTTGACATTGATAGACCGTGTTCGACCCAGCACTGTAGAAAGGTTCAACCCAGCAGAGTGTCAACCTGAGGCCCTGCCAATGACTTTCGCAACCTGCAATCCTCCTGCCGCTTGCTAAGCCAGCTACTTAAGCCATTTTGAACCCCACCCATTAGAAATCAAGAAACTGGCAACTGGTCTCTGAACCAAGAATACCTTTCATAAGAACAACAAAGGGCATCGCTACTAGGAGCAAGGACGCTACTAGTAGCTACTGGGAGCAAGAAGCTAATAGAAACAATAATAAAACAGAATTAGAAATAGAATTTACTTCATTTTTAATTTGGATTTTAATTAGAATTGAAACAACAATACCTTTCACGACCGCCAAGGCACTCTCCAGATCGGTATCCCTCGGTACCTTCCGGCGCTGGACACCAGAGATCTGCCATTTTGAGCACAGCCTGGCCACTAGACGTGTGTTCCGTAGAAAGGGTGTGCCATTGTTCAAAGCATTGCAAAATTTAAAAATTGATGTAAACCTGTAAACCACTCAAAAAATTTAAAAAAAATGATGAAAATGGTATTCTTTGATCAATTGAAGGCGGTCCCCACCTCGGCCTTTCGGACATAGGCAGCCTTGGGCCATATCTGAAGATCGCTAGGCCATCGCTACTAGAAGCAAAGGCCATCGCTATTAGGAACAAGAGGACGCTACTAGTAACAAAGGGCATCGCTACTAGGAGCAAGGACGCTACTAGTAGCTCCTGGCCTTACTACTAGTAACAAGAAGCTACTAGTAGCTATTAGGTTGGAATCTACATCATTGAACTTTGGGCGCCTCGTAATCGATCCCAATTACCGACAAGCGCCGCTGCAGAAGCTCCGCCTGCACCAATGGAAGTCGTCAACAATAGTCAACATGCAAATCGACCAGCTCAAGTTTTTGACCACTTGCACCTTGTTTTTGACCAAGGCGGTGGCAGTTCCAATTCCCACCTTGCTATGTGAACGAAACAGAAGACCCAATATGCTTCGTTCGCACAAGCATTCGGACATCAAGGATTCGATCTCCTCGTTCGAGTCTTTGGAAAACAGCCTGCGCTTCGCACTGCATGGCGTTCGAAAACACAAAGGACAAAAATGAAAACGAATGAAAGAAACGCTCTGGAAAAAGACAGGAAAGAAAGGTCTAAAGTCTAAGGAAGATGAAACGTGAACTCCATGGAGTCGTAACTCCATGGCGCTCCACGGTGACTCCGCTTTCGACCTGGTACCACCGCGCAGTCATCCACACAATCACAGCATCGTAGACCTGAGGAGAAATGGCGCTCCATGGCGCTCCATCGGAATTTAGGTTGGAGGCCATCGCTAGTAGGTTGGAGGCTGGTTCACTTTGGTTTGCACCTCCACTTTAGCCTACCTCTGTCCTTCTGATCACACCGTGGTTCCTTCCAGCCAACCTGTCTTGCGACCAACCCCTTCAAGTGAACCCAGGGCAAAGGTTTGCGGAGTAGGCATGGACGCGATTGCAAGGGCACGCTTGCACCCGTTGCACGGGCATGTCACCCTTTCCAACCTGAACCCACGCCAGGCTAAGGACACAGAATGGCAGCTAGCGCACTTCACTGCCTCAATTTGAAAGGAATGGTTTGAATCACCACGTTGACCGACCCACAAGCTTACGAAGGAGAAACGAAAGCAATCGGAACCTGTGCCGAAGCTTGGCACTTGGCAAGGCCCTATGGAGGAGGATTGAAGTGGACAGCTCAAGAAGTGCTGTATTCGTTGACCATCATCGAGGGATGAAGGATATGAGACCTGAGAAGGGACAATTGCCATGCCTTTGCTTGGCCCAAAAACGCATGAACAAGTAAGTCTGAGTAGACTGTCAACCAAACATTCAACACACATAAGCTGAATAGTGTCGTTAAAGCACGTTGCTGATGCAAGTGGTGCACTAACCCACTCACCTTGCATCTTCTGCATCACCGACCCACAAAAAAACACCTCCGTCATAAAGTAGAGCCACCAGCAGGCCAACGTGGCTTATGTGTATTTTTCCACCTGGCCTATCGGCTGGCTTTCAAGCAGCAGTCATTGATGTTGAGGTTGACGCCCAACGTGAAAGCAGGCCCACACAACAGCCATGCGGTCTGGAGAGGGCTAGGTGAACAAGGCTTGGCGCCACATGGTTGCATCTAGTGACCCAGTGTGGCATGGCGGCATGTTGCTGCTGAGCCGATGGTTGGTGCATAAGGTTTGGCATCACATTGCTGCATCCAGGAAGCGGCGCACGATGCGGCAGTCTAGCAACGACAACTTGTCTTGCCTTCTGTTATCAATCAATTAGGTGAGATTCGATTCATTTGGAATGATGACTTGGCTTCCGCCATCCACCGCATATTTGACCATCTTCGATCACGCGACCTCTCCTCTTTTGTCAAGAGACTACCACCTTTATGATGCTCACCATGCCGAACAACATCATCAGCATCCAAAACTTTGAAATTTGCATGTTCAGCATCATCAATCTGCACCAGAACGAATCCATACCAGTTTCCTGGCCCTCCCCACCCGCAGACCCTTCAGTATGTTCATAGCAATCTTACACCCTCTTCAGTGCAGGCCCAGCTCTTTGGACCTTGATGTTACAAGAAAAATATTGTAAGATGAAAAAACGGGAGCTCGACACTTGCACGGCGCAGAATAGTCAAAGGCATCACAGGAATCTGTCCATCGAAGAAACCCGATTTGGAGGGGTTGGAGGCCATCACTATTGGTTTTGATCAGCTTTCTTGACGACTTCTAGCGCAGGCCCAGCGACGTCGGCAGCAAATAGCCGAAGGAGCATAAGCCTGGTTTTTCAGAGAGCACACAACACACATCTGCCACATGACAAATTCAAAGCTGAATCTAACTCACAAGATTCCGTTTCCAGGCCAGGCACAATGCCACGGGCACAATCAAAGCCAGCCAAAACATGGCTGTCAGTGCCGGGGCCGTTGTTTGTCAAAATTTTAAAAGCGGAGGTTCAGCGCTGATCTGGCAGATATTTTGTGGTCTGCTTTGCCTGCAAGCTCTGCTACTAGCGATGGCCTCCAACCTAATATCGGCGATGGACGTGACAAAACTTCGGACACGTTTGAGCACTTTGACACTTTTGGTGTTCCATTCGGGTTTCCTCTATGATTTGAGCCCACATGTCACCGCACAAGAAAATGGGTTGCCGACATGTCAAATTACCAGTTGGGAGGACGCCTTTTCGCACTTTTGCACTCTTTGAGGCCGCTAACTAGAAACATGAAAAGGAACCAAGAGAGACACTACTCCAACTCACGCATTGAAAACTAGAGAGGCACTCTGTTGACCCTAGTAACTCAGTGCTAAGTCTACTGCCAGGTGTTCGCAAACTCTCTAATTGCTGTTTGTATTGGGCCTCTGGAAGACGCTTTCACTGCGCACTCACGCAGCAGGGCCGGCATAAAGGGGCCTGGATAGAAGAAAGGAAATTTGGACTGCATCTGTGCTACTACAAGCGATGGCCTCCACCCTAGTGGCGATGGCCTCCACCTAGTAGCTTTTTGCTACTAGAAAGCTTTATTGCTACTAGAGCTTCAAATTACTACTAAAAATACTTAGCTATAATATGCCTGACATACTACTTCCACAAAACAAAGCTGTTATAAAGCATTGCAATGGACAGTCAGAGCATCCTAACACCCCAACAACTCAAGCTAGTGCCTCGTCGCTCTAACCTGCACTGCACAATCTCCTGAAAGACCATATCGCTCCAACGGGAGCGGGTCCTTGGTGCCAAACACTGAGAAGCAAATAGCGAATAGCCCCTAGTAGCGTTCTTGTTCCTAGTAGTAAGGCCAGGAGCCCCTACTAGCGTCCTTGCTCCTAGTAGCGATGCCCTTTGTTACTAGTAGCTTCTTGTTCCTAATAGCGATGGCCTCCACCCTAGTAGCAATGGCAAACACAAAGCCTGACTTCAAGTGTGGAATTGAAAAGGCACCTTGCTACTCGTAGCCTCTTGTTCCTAGTAGCCATGCCCGGGTTCCTAGTAGCTTCTTCTTACTGTGGAACTGTGCTTTTGGAAACTGAAAAACCATGAAACGAGAAGCTAGTAGTAACAAGTGCCTTGCTAGTAGTAACAAATTTAACTAGAATTGTAATTACTAGCAAAGGAATCTACTAAAAGACCGAACGAGTCGCTCTATCACGCTTCAAGTTCCATTTGATCGAACACATAGGTCAACCGACAAGGATGTCGACGACATTTGGAAGCAATGGTTTCTAATGGGCTGGAGATGGGATTGTCAGGGGCTTTAGATGGCTCCAAAAAGGCTGGCAAGGTAGCTTTTGAGAACGCGTTGATGGAACCACAAGCTAACACGCTTTTAGGATCAAAGCTTTGCTTGAGACAACGCAGCATTGCTATGCACTGCTGCGCAGTCTCTCCTCTCTGATCTGCCCCTTCCTCTTCTCTTCTGCTTGTGCAATGGCTGGTGGCAGTGGCACTGCCCTCAAACCTGGCTACATCCAACGTTCCACCGACACTTTACGCAAAAGTCTGCCCTGTCAGGCCATGAAGGCTACTTTGGAATCAACTGTCCTCTTGCACGGCAATACGTCGGCGTATCGCCCGATTGTAGGATCTCAACTCGACAGCAGGATTTACCAATGTGCGCAAATCCGGGCTTGGGGGTGTCACTCTTTATCACACCGGAAAAAGGTGCAACATTTGGGACGACAATCCTTCGCCTCCTGTCATCTAGGCGTTTGCCACGCTTCTAACCTTTAACGTCCATTGTTGCAATCTATCTCTTGCGCCCAACCAAGCCTTCAAGTGCCAGACCATCAAAGCAGAAACAAATCGAGGAAATGGCGAAGTGTTTGCGTAATCTTAACATTTGGACAACCTCAGTAGACCTGAAAGGAGCACCCACAAAAGCCGAAACTGCATCACGCCACCAATGCCACTCAAGGCTCTCGCAGCTCGACACGTCCAGCGAAAAGTTTCATGCAGAGGTAGGGGATACCCACCTGCGAGGCTTGGGAGAAGCGGGCTCACAAAACACATTGTTATTAGTCATCACGGTGCAGCTCAAGTCGAAGTGGAAGTAGTAGTAGTTGTTGTTGTTGTAGTAGTAGTAGTGGTAGTAGCAGTAGCAGTAGGAGTAGTGGGAGTAGTAGTAGTAGTAGTAGTAGTAGTAGTAGCAGTAGGAGTAGTAGTAGCAGTAGCAGCAGCAGCAGTAGGTAGTCAAGTTCCATGCCCATCATTGACTGTTCTTTTGTAAACCCTTGCCCGTTTCCTGGCCTCAGAAGTTATTCGCCCCTTCAGTTGCGCCACTGTGGTTTCAGGCGTGACATGTTCCTCTCGGCACAGGAAATCCAACGGAAAAAAATGGATTTCTAGGACTTGGGCTTGGCCGCGCAGCAAACAAATCGGCTAAAAGTGATGGCCTCCAACCTAATAGCGATGGCCTCCAACCTAATAGCGATGGCCTCCAACCTGATAGCGGCTTCTAGTGTGTTGAAATCTATCCAGTCAACAACAAGCCTTGATGTGTCCACCGCTGGGCAACTGACACCTGCGGCCACTGCGGGCTCGACATGCGTGTTTGCGATACCACAGTGTGTTGGTTGCAAAAATGGACATCCCAATGCTGCAAACCAGGAGAGAAAAACCTGGAGGTCATTCCAGGTTGGAGGCCATGGCTCTTAAAATGACAGGCAGCCGTTTGGCATCTAAGAGCCGAGCTCCAAATCAAAAGATCTCCAAGGAGCGCCGCCCAAGTGAAGCACGGGGCCACCAGGGCAATCATCTGGGACCTTGTGTACCCTAGTAGCGTCCTAGTAGCGAACCTTGTTACTACTAGTAAGGCACCTGTTCCTAGTAGCGATGCACTTGTTCCTAATAGCTTCTTGTTCCTAGTAGTACGGCCAGGAGCCCCTAGTAGCGTCCTTGCTCCTCCTTGTCTCAATCAAACATTGACAACACGTGCTCCACACAGCATTGACCACCACCAAGGGGAAGAATCTCATCGGAGCGATCAAGAAAAGAGCTTCAAAGACATACTAGAAAGCTTCATTACTACTACAGGTGAAACGATTCCCAGTCACGAAGATTCTTCATGAGGAGGACAGCCTTGTCCAGGCTGAGGTTGCGATGGGTGATGGAGCGAGTGAGTGTGCTTCAGTTTGTGTCGAGGATGTTGCAGGGGCCTTGGCGGCCTTGACCATCAAAACAGGAAGGAAAAACCTGCGTTAGGGCAGATACACTCCCTTCCGAAGCCCGCAAAAGATTCAAGAACTCTACAAGGTGGCTGGTTTGATTCGATGGACACAAAGGGAAACACAAAATGTCGTGGCCTTACCAGAAGACGGTGTGTAAAATGCCTTGGAAAGGGCAGTGTAAAAACTGCTTTGCGCCAAAGCTGTGTTGCATAAACGCTGTAGAATCTGTAGAAATGATTTGCAAAAAAGCTGAGGCGCGCAACGTCTTTGCAGGGGCGTTGTTATTGTTGTTGCTCTTGCTGCTAGTGAGTGGACGTGCTGTGGTGGTCCTGGTGCTGGTGCTGGTGAGGGGGGGCTCCCAAAGTAGTGATTTATCACTAATGAATGATAGGATTGATCTCCAGAAATGGTCCCCGAATGCCCCTCGTATGCTGTCAGGAAAAGTCTACTGATGCTTTGTTCTCAGCTTGTGGTCTTGAACAGAACTCTCCCACACCATGGCCTCCAACCTACTAGCAAAAAACGTGATAGGAATGGCCTCCACCCTAGTAGCGATGACCACAATATCAAAAGGATGCAAGCAGTTTTGCATGCTGTTGGGAAAGCGCACAATGTTGTACTCCAAGAGCGTTGCATCCTGGCAAGGGTGTGCCAAGTTGTAAATTCGCTACACCGCTCATCAACTCGACATGTACTGGCCAAGAAATGCTAAACAAATGGCCTCGTCATCCAATTCTACACCATTGAATACGAGAGGTTCGTCGGCCTGGCTTCCAATGTAGTTTCGTAAAGAATGGCTGTGTGTCTACCCTAATAGCGTCCTTGCTCCTAGTAGAGTAGCGATGCCAGGAGCCCCTAGTAGCTTCTTGTTCCTAGTAGTACGGCCAGGAGCCCCTAGTAGCGTCCTTGTCCTCTTTAAAAAAACCATTGCATGCACTTCCGAAGACCTGCCATTGGCAATCGTCAACTACTGTAGCCTTATTGTTACTAGAAAGCTTCAAAGACATACGAAAAAGCTTTATTGTTACTGACATGTGAAACGATTCCTAGTCACAAATTCTGCTTCAAACATCCTTGCATGCACTTCCGATGACCTGCCCCCGCCTCAGCTGCAACCCTTGCCTGATCGTAGGCTTGCTTGGATCTTTCAAGAAAAGGAACACCACAAGCAGCACTTGCCACAGTGGGGGTTAAAACCATGCGACAGGACCGAGCCACACCACAGAGATGCCACTCCACCAACATAGAGTCCCAGACCAAACCACTTCAGCCAAAAGATTTATACTTAACTATATTAGACCGTTTCTTTTCTAATAGCAATGGCCTCCAACCTAGTAGCGATGGCCTCCACCCTACCACCACCTCACCAGCGGTAAGCTCCTACAACTGCTGCAGTAAGATGGGTGGGTGCCACTCCAACCCGTGGCAAGACTGTACCAGTTCAGCAGCAAGTTTCCAGTTTCAGTTCACCAGGGGCAGGCAATCTACCATTCGTGTGAACGCGTCTTTATTGAAAGTGGTGTGACGCACTGGTCGGTTGATCTGTTTGACGTGTTGTCAGCGACCCTTTATGATCCTTATATGACAATCACTAGGATTAGTTTCTCTCCAAATAAAAAACGGACCTTCTGCAACCTCTTCATCCAGAACCTTTGGGAAGGCCTGGCCTGCCCCCTACTACTTGATTGAGTAGGCGCCTACTTGATGAAGTAAGGGCTAAGTTAGCTCCTAGGTAGGACGCAGGATAGCTCGCGCTTCTATTTATTTGGCTCCTGGATTTGTTA